GTAATCCATGGAAACAGATCGAGGGAACTGCCAAAAAAAAGAAATCTTGTTTCTACCTCAACTTAGCTTTGAGTCACATTGGTTGAATGTTTATCACATTTAACAGAACTTACAGAGCTCGAAAATGACAAGTTGAATGAGGCACATGCTCAGTTGATGGTTGCTTGCGCTGAGGGAGATGTTGAAGCAGCTGATCGGATCCTTGCTAACATTCCCGTGAAGGATCACTATGCGATACTCAATGGTCGTACCCCAGAGAGTGATACAGCGTTGTTCATGTAAGCATCTTGAGATCTTTTAACCCGGCTTGCATTGATGGTTGAGACGTTGCTGCCAATTTTAGCATTATAATGATTTCAGTGCTTGCACGAATGGTCAGCTGGATATCGTGAAACGACTGCTGGAATCCAATTACGACCATGTTTTAGTAAATCAGAATACAAAAGACACTGTACTTCATGCCGCAGTTTCTTCGCAAAACGTGGACGTATTACAGATTATGCTTGAGGTACCACTGCTTACGACTCGATGTATTAAGCAAGTTAGTGTAATGAGAAACCACCTAGGCATTTCCGGCTTTGATAGCTAACTCCAACTGTGATGGTTGCTCTTGCCTTCATTGGGCGGCTGAAAGCGGCTCTACAGAAATTGTCAGATGGTGCGTTTTCCTGCCTTTCTTTCGGTTTTTTTTCAGTGTTGTTTTTTGAAATCTACCAAACTTTTGCTGATCCTTTTTATTGATAGTAGGGTTCCTTAAGGTGCTTAAGCACAAATGTGAGTTTGTTTCCCTTCATTCATCGTTCATTTTGAGATTCAGTTATATATGCAGAAGTGCTGCTACTGTCCAGCAACCGACAATGCTCTGAATAACCCACAATACGCATTCTCGTTTCGGACATTTTATAAAAATTATTTCAACAACTGTTTTTAGTCTTCTTGAATTCGAGTTTCCTGAGCAGTACATCAAAGAGATTGATTTGCTGTCATGCCCTCCCTATCGGTTCGCTATTGACGTCAATAACGGTGACAACGAATGTAGAACTGCGTTGTATAGAGCAGCTTCGAAAGGCCACACGAATGTTCTTCAATATATGTTGGCGGTGAGCGAGCTATTTTGGTTTTTTTTAGTTTCAAACACGTGACTGCAACCGATGCTGGTGCACTCTTTCAAATATATTACACGGTGTTGAAGACTTTGTTTGCAGTTTCGCTGCCTGTTCACTGATGGCGAAATGCGCTGTCCTTTCCAATTGGATGTATATTGTAGTCGTGGCAGGACTCCTCTTATGGTCGCTGCCTACAATCAATCCCTTCCTGTACTTACGTGAGTCATTTAGAGTTTTTGCTCATTCGTAATGCTCTATCCCACTCGTTTCGGCTTCGAAGGGTTTTGAACTGAGCAGGAAGTTTTCACCGATTTGAGAAAAGATCGAATGGCAAGTATAGCCTGCCGTTAGAGAGATGAGAAATGTTTATCAGATTGATGCAGAATTGTATGGGGCACGGTATGCGGCTATGAAAATCTATCTTTGCTCCACTTTCAGCTGAAGATGAATAATAATAGCAGGCCTAGTGGGGGAAGCATCTCAGAAATGCTATTCACGTCCTTTACTTTTTGGTTTGTGTATGAAGAAAGTATGAGTATTAATTAAGTGCGAACGTGAGATTTCAGTTTACTGTTGGACGCTGGCGCGGATGTCAATTTGCCGTTGGCGATTCTGGATTCAGAAACTTGCGAAGAAGCTCGATGTATTGGTAAGACTCATTATTCGTTGCGTTTCTTAACCTTTCTATAATTTTCACGTCCACTAAGCGAAACTAGTTTATGGTCTTTCGCTCTTTTTCTGTCCCGGGTCCTGGAGAGTTCGTTCTGAGGCTTAGTCGCGGTGTCGGTCATACCAAACTTGGAAAGCGAATGGGACAAAGATGTTACAATGCAAGAGCTTTTGCAAAACTCAAAAAGGGAACAGCGTAACTGATCGGGAGTATTTGGCATACTGGGGTAATGTTCCGTGCGTGCTTACCCGGCACCCGAAAGATTTGGTTTAGAGAAACTGGTTTTTATTTTTTCCTTCAACTCTAAAAGTTTGCTTTAGTGAACGATTTTTGTTGT